ATCCTCGGCCTCGACAGAGCCGCCTCTGCCATCGCCGCCTGTAGCCATGGACCTGCGAGCGGAGCTGCTGAAGTCCATCTGGTACGCTTTCACCGCCTTGGACGTGGAGAAGAGCGGCAAGGTCTCCAAATCCCAGCTCAAAGTGAGTCCTCGGGGAGGCTCGGACGGCCCCGGCGCGGGGCTGGCGGGTGGGCTGCGAGGGGCAGAGCGGGTCCAGGGATGCTCTGCGGCCCCCCTGGGTTTCCACGGAGGAATTGTTAAATATTAAGATTAGTAAGACCTTGCTGTCGCCTTCCATGCTGGTTTTGGTGAAGTTCTCCGTCTCCGCCTTGCCTCCCTTTAAAAAAAGGCGGGGGGAGTTAATGCTCAAACATATTTTCTAGGTGAAAATGAGGAGAAATCTTGATTTTTAGTCGTTTTCAGTTTCTTACGCTTTTTATGCCCAACTAACAGCCCAAACGCGGTTTATATTTTTCTGCTTGCCGGAGCACCCGCGTTTCTGCTTCCTGTTCAGCCAGCCGGTCGGTAGGTAGAGGCAGACCATTTTTAAACTAAAATTCCTCGGTAGTCTGGCCAGAAATAACACAGCGCTTTAAAAAAATCTCTGATATCCCCTCTCCGCCCCCCCCCCCCCTTAGCAGCTTTGCAGAGGGCTCCTGCATTCAGCCCTTCGTCAAAACCGTTGTGCCTTTAAAAACCTTTCTGTCTGCCTCTGGGACAGGGTCTGGTCGAATCCGCCAGGTTGCACCTTGGCTTTGACAATAATTATCGATTTTTATTTCTTTTTTTTCCCCCCTTTGCAAATGATGGGACTCTTGTCGCCGTGTAAATGTCCCCTTGCGGTTCTTAGGCTGGCGCCCGGGGTAGGAAATGCCGGTTGGAGCAGGGGGCTGCGATGCAGAGGAAAGACCTGAGCTAGAAACATGCAAAACACGGGGAGATGTTGCGTCAAGACTTGGCAGCTGCTGACGGTCTGTGAGATGAGTTGTGAAACGCTGCGAAGAAACCCCTTTTCCTCTATTCCCTCTACTTTATAGTGCTTTCCCTGGGACAGACTGCAGGGAAAGTGCTGGGCTTGGCAGGGGGGACATGTTTTGCCCCAAAATTAAGAGTGTTGTTTGCAGGGGTGTGGAGGGGAAGCAGCAGGAACTGGGCTCCTCATGTTCAGCCACTGCCTTTGCAGCCGAGAGCCTTCAGCTGCTCCCCAGAAACTCATTGCACGTGTGCCCTCTGAGCCACGCTCACCTACTTAAAACTGTAGGAATATCTGAAGGAATTAAGGAAAATCCCAAAGTAGGTCAGAGCCTAATTCCCCTTGCTAATCCCTGAGAAGGGCTGCTGTGCTCCCTTCACAGCATCCCCTGCACCCGGGCTTTGGGTCCTGAGCCCAGCCCAGGCATGCTGCTGGTCCCAAAAGCACCAGCGTGAACATGTGCAGTGCTTGTCTTGCAAGACCTTTATCGCCGGCGCCGATGCTGAGACCACAGAGACCCTAATTTTAACAGCAATTTCCTAGAGAGTTAGTGCAGGGGGGCTGGGGGAGCTGCAAACCCTCCTGTGGGGGCCGCGGGGATGCTGGGCTGCAGGGATGCTGGGGACAGCGTCTCCGCAGTGGCTTTGCCGAGGGTGACATTTCAGAAGAGAAGGGAGATTCGCCCCTCACTATTTTTCCACCCACCTTCAGCACCGAGACAGGACGGTGGTGGGCCGGGCTGCGCTGTTGCACGACGAAGCTCAACTCTGGATGACTTTCCACTGGCCTCGAGGCCGGGGAGAGCTCGTTTCCATCGCCTGTTGCTGCCAAACACTGGCTCGGGTTTGCCCCAACCTACGCAAGCCAACAGCGGCGTTTCTGCCCGTAGGTTCAGAGCAGAAGAAATCCAGGGTCTCGCAGGTTTGAGCAATAACGTGTTAAAGCCGTGGTGGCCGTGCCCTCTCCAAACTCCTCCCGGGTTGTGCAAGCCGGGCTGCGCCCTGCTCCCTCGCCCAGCTGTGAAGAAGGGTCTTGAACAAGGGCGGGAGAAACGCCGGTGTTCACAGCATTTCCACCTACAGAAACAAAACCAGGCCCAGGAACTGGGGGGGGGGGGGGGGTTTTGTGGGGGGGGGGAGCACCCACACCAAGGAACCTCGGCACTGGAGACCTTCACGCAGGACAGAGAAGGAAACGGAGAACATGCAGAGAATGGAGCATTCAGGAAGGACTTAGGTGGGGGAAAGAGCAGGGGTGAAGGAAAGCACACAGGCAGTTTGTCAGTGTGCAAGTGTGTGCATACGTACATGTGAGTTTAGGTGTGTATCTGCACAGGAAGGAAAGAGCCTTGTGGTTGAGTGCTACGCAGCGAGAGATGTCAGCTAGTTCTGTTCCCAGCGCGGGCACGCAGCAGCCCTGCTCTTGGATAAGCGTTTATCCTCTCCGCGCCATCGCATCCTCCCTGGCCGAGCTTGGGGGAGCTGTTCCCTGTCTCTGCGGATGCTGGCTGGGATGCGGGATGCGGCTCCCGCAGGCAGGGGAGAGCTGAGCCCCTCGGGGTGGCCGAGCCCGGCTGGGGCAGGCGGGTGGGAGCCACCAAGCACCATCCTGGTGCTTTTCGGCACCTCTGCTCCGCTCCTGTCCCTGTGGCAGAGGGAGAGGAGCGGTTGGCTGAGCGGAGCTCGGTCTCCTGAGGCTGCCCGCTATGGCAAAGCCCTTGGGGAGTGGAGAGGAGGAGGCAGGCGAGTGGTTTAAACGCGTGTCAGGGGGCACAAGTATCCCCCACCCACGGCATGGGGTTGCAGGCTCGGGGTGCAAATGGCAGGGGAGGTGGCTCTTGCTCGCTTTTGGAGAAAGAGCCCGTAACCCGTGCGGGTCTCTGGGTATAACTGGTGCCTTGCGGGGCTGGGTTACAGCCGGTTTATGGACACCCCCCCCTCGGGGGCAGGAGGAAGGCGCCTGGCTTGGACTGGAAGCTCCTCTGCTTGTTGCATGCACAAAAGGCTCTTGGCACTGGCCAGTGGGTCCCAGTTTGGCCAGTAAGAGGTCTGAGAGCAGCTCATCCGTGCAAGCAATAGGGAAAGCCTTCCCCGAGGTCGGGAGTCGACGGTCCTGGGGCTGGGCTTGAGCCAAGGGGTCCTGGCTGATGGGGCGGCGAGGCAGCCGTCCCCCCTCGCATCCTCCTCGCTGCAGAAAATGGGCAGCACAAGGGACCCTCACTGCTGGCAAAGGCTCCCAGCACTGGGGTCCCCTGGGACAGGACCCCCTGCACCCCCAGCTCCGGGGAGGCTTTGATTTTCTCAGCAGTGCCGGTCTGCTTGCACATGGGGAAACCAAGGCAGCAGCGACGCTCCCTGCACGGTGCGGGAGCCCCGATCCCCCTGCTCCTGCTCATCGTAGGCCAGAGGGGTTTGTGTTTCGGCCAGGCTCCAGCCTGAAAGGTCACCCCCAGCCCTGGCATCGCCCCCGGCGTCTCCCACGGGGGAGAAGAAGAGGGGATGCCATTCTCCAGCCACGTTAAATATTCCACCCCCGTCTCTGGCTGGCGTCGGCAGCGGCCACGGGCAGCTGCGGAGGGGTGGG